AATAAAAACCTAAACATCTCTCCGCCTAGCTGGATCTGGCCACAGGGCCTCGTCAACATCACAGGCTATATTTTCATTTGCAAGGCAACGTGGGAAGAATCTTTTGGAGTGACGAATCCACCCTTGTATGGATGCTGCTTCAATTTGATCACATGCTTCCTCCATAGCTTGAATGAGGGCCATCTGGACATAGGGCCAGAGATCATAAACCTTCCACCGCCGTGCTGAGAAGAACTCCTCGATGGGGTTTAGGAAGGGGGAGTATGGCGGAAGGTATTGAACTGTAAATTGTGGGTGTTGATGAAACCAGTTTTGGACCAGAGCAGAACGATGGAAAGCTACATTGTCCCAGACGACAATGTATTGCATCTGGTCCCTTTGGTTTGCTGCTGTGATAATATTGTGTAATCTATCTAAAAAAAATTTAAGAATGAGGTCAGTGTTGTAAGGACCCAAGTTGGCATGGCGGTGGAGGACCCCATTCTGTGTAATGGCAGCACAAAGGGTAATGTTACCCCCACGTTGCCCTGGTACATTGACAATAGCCCTGTGGCCAATGATGTTTCTTCCCCTTCTCACTGTTGTCAGGTTAAATCCAGCCTCATCAATATACACTCTTGCGGGACTTCCCGCAAGAGTGTATCCATTTGCAAAACTCTCTGAAATACAGCAAAATATCACATTGTGTAGATCAATATACTGTAGGTCTGCTATACAGTAAAATTACATGTACAGTAAAAAGGTTATGTGTGCAGTACACAATACTACAGTCAGTGAACAAAACGTACCACCACATATTCACGCCGCAGGACTTTCACCCTGTCTGAATTTCTTTCAAATGGCACTTTATACAGTTGTTTCATCAGAACTTCATGTTTTTTAAAATACGGGCTATTGTTGACAGAGAGACCTGTTGGACATTATTGAAAATTGGGTGATCATTGACAATATGGGCTTGAATTTCTCTAAGTCTGATTGCATTATTGGCCAAAACAAGGTTTATGATCTCTCTCTCTCTCTTGCTCCTGTGTGAATATGGGGCCCCTCCCCCTTGGTGTTCTCGACGTTCAATCCTATGTTGGCCAAACAAAATACTGTGTAAGCAATTGAAGAAAACTTTAATTGGATTAATGCTGAATGAGAGAGGTAGGCTGCGTGAGAACGCCGTTTGCTTTCAGTTTCGCATTTAATTAGCCTAATTTTGGCTTGTTTAGCAACTTATATTTTTCATTCTTTTCTTCTGAAACCATTCAAAATAGCCTATAGGTTAGTTATTGTGTTTATTGTTTGTACATTATAACACTTCGCTTTATTTACCGGTGTCATTTATGAATGTAATAATGCGGTTTGTGCTTATCTGTGTTTAACCTAAACTACAACGTAACCTTAATGTAGACCTACATACCGGTATCTAAATATGATTTTATAATTTTATGCTATATAGACCTACCACATTACCCTCCACTGGGTGTAGAATGAGCAGCAATAAACTACATTTGGGCATTTTATAATACTTCTGTGGATATTTTGGTGAAAGTAACTCAAAAGTAGTGTAACGCATTACAATTCAGAGACAGTAATATTGTAATGTAACTAATTACTTTCAAAAGACAGTAACTAGTAATATATAATGTATTACATTTTGGAAGTAACTTGCCCAACACTGCTGGTTTGTGCAGCTACACAAACGTTATCAAATCAGGCTTCAGTATCAGAGTAAACAGAAGTTTACCCATAGTGTCAAGCGACACAATGCTTGTTCCCTTATCTCAGGGAACAGAGGTTACATTAGTAACTGGAGCGTTTTTCAGTCAAGCTGAAGGGGTTATGAACTGGGAAACCAAAATTCCCTTGATCTTTCGACATATTCATTATACTATAAAACATCCTGTAAGTTTCAGAACTCAAAACTTTGTTGTTAGTCTAAAAACAGCTTATATTGTAGGCTAGTGTGCCAAAATGACAGCTTTTGGAATTTTCCACTCTATGATGTAATAGTATGGATAAGCACCTCCTCCACCTGCTTCAACATCACTGCATGTTAAGCCCCACCCACCGATTCACACATGTAGTGCTTACGAAAGAGGCGAATGTACAGGTCTATGCAGAAGTCTATGACTCTCTCTCCTCTCCATCTGTGCTGTGGTGAGCGCACTGGCGCCGTTGTCCTGTGGCTGCCGTCACATCAGCACTCTCAAAAAATCAAAACTATCTTTATAATCACTGAAGCTCTATACACTGTTAAATGAATATCTTAATTACATTGTAATGAGTCCGGAATTCAGTCAGCGAACGCGCGCACACTCAACAAAACTGATGAGTTTGAACGATGACTCATCTGAATGCTTCTGATCGGCCATTGCATTCCTAAGCTCAACAGATATGTGTGTGATTGGTTAAAATGCGCAACACTGTAAAAACGCTTAAAATGAAATACGGTGCAACATGAGCAGATCTTAATTTAATGCCGCAATCGACACTGTCTATTCATATTCACTTTGTTAGCAACAGACGTAATAGATTTAATTTGTTTGTGCAGGGGCATTTTTGTCCAATTTAGTGCCATTTTCCAGATAGTGACGTAGGTATGTGGGGGGGGGTTAGAACGAGTCGTTTTAGGTAGGAGTGGTTGACTCTTAACTTTTATAAAGAATATCTCTTTGGATTTGAGACTTGTCTTTGCAACTTTACAGATCTTCTTTATGCACCAAGAGCTTGTAACACTCCAAAGAGAAAGGAAAAATTTAAATCGCATCATATGACTCCTTTAAATGTTTGCTCAAAAATGACATTTTTACATGACAAATCTTCTACAGTGCACCTTTAAATAATTGACTTGTATGTGTCATTGTACTAAAGCCAAAACAAAAATTAAAATATTATCTTAAAATAAAGTTATTTATATGTTTAAGTGTGTTTATGTAGAGCTTCCAGTGGTGTAACGGTAGGCGTATGGTGTACCGAACGGTTCACTGGCAAATTCCAAATGGAAGTGATCATCCCTATCCCCTTGGAGTGGGGACTGAGCAGGGCACGTGCGTGCCATTATGTAGTAGTTTGGAACGCACTTGGCAAAGGGAGCGATGTAATTTCCTCATTATTTTCAGCTGGGATCTTCCCGTGACAACGCAGCACGGTGTCCGTCAGCAGATTCGCATAAAAAATATACTTTTTATATTTTAAAGAGTTTTATATATATTATTTTTTATATATTATATAGAATATTTTAAAAACTTTTTAAAATATAAAATGTATGTTTATTTGCAACAGTTATGCTAATGTAATGGAGGCCAGCGGTAGGTGCTGTGCAAGTAAACCTCACTCCCCTGATCTCAAGAGACGCACTAGCGACTGACGCTAGTGGCTTCAGTCTTTAGCCTCCTTGTTAGTGCGTCCGCCTCCCATGCCGGAGACCCGGGTTCGAGACCCACTCGGAACGAGAACGAGGTGTGGCGGTGAGGACCCCGGGGAGAGGGGTTACACTAACAACAATAAAAAAGACATTTATGACATTAAAACAGCGACATCTGATGACGGACACCGTGCTGCGTTGTCACGGGAACATCCCAGCTGAAGATAATGAGGAAATTACATCACTCCCTTTGCCAAGTGCATTCCAAACGACTACATAATGGCACGCATGTGCCCTGCTCACTCCAAAGTCTCCAATCCAAGGGGATAGGGATGATCACTTCCATTTGGAATTTGGCCGTGAACCGTTCGGTACACCATATGCGTACCATTACACCCCTAAGAGCTTCTCACAAAAAAGATATATATATTGTTCCATACATTGTCAGGATTATGGACCTGTTTTGTTGTGTTTTCCCTCCCCATGTGCTCCGTGACCCAGTTTTTCCTGTGCTTGATTGTGTTCATGTCATCCAGGTGTGTCTTGTAATTACCCTTGTTACCCCATGTATTTAAGTCCCAGTCTGTGCGTTCTGTCATTGTCGGGTCTACTTGGTGATGTACGTGTGTCTCCTGTCTTGGATTCATTAAAGACTGTTTATCCTGAATCTCCTTCGTCTCCACATTCCTTGACTCCACACAGTAGGCAACGTGACATACATACTGTATGTACATTGCAAGGAAGCAGAAATAAGCACATAACTTCTATTTTGTGTTAGATCAGGCTTATTATACTTAACTCTTATACTTAACTCTTTACAGCTCCACATTTTCATATATTTATTTTATTTTATTTAAACAAATTGTTATTGTACCATATCCAGAAAAAAATAAAAATGGGAATTAGTAGAGAAAAGTAGAGAATAACTGAAACTTTCACTCCCTAATACCAGTGGAATATACTTGCACATTATCAACAATATGATGCAACACTTTAGGATGATTGCGTAGCACCGACCACATCAACTCCTGCCAAGCCAACAGTCGTCAAGGTTAGTGTAAAGTAAACATTCTAAGCTTTTTTCCAACAAATTTCATATGTGTAAATGTTTGTATGAACATAAAATATACAACAACTGAGACATAAACTGAATAAATTTTACAGATATTTGGCGAACAGAAATTAAACAAAGAGTCCCTGAGCAGGGGTCAATTTCAACAGTAGCAGTTAGTAAGTAGCTGTCAGTATATGGTGTGTCCATCAGCTGCTTTAAGTACTACAGTGCATCTCAATGGATTGAGAAAGATTTGCCAGTTCTTGCTGTGAGATATTACTTCACTCTTCTATTAAGGTACTTGCATGTTCTTGAACACATCTGGGGGTGCATATGGTCACATGTAGTCTGGCCAGTGGTGGGCCGTCAGGGCCAGCAAAGCCTTCTCTGCTGGCCTAAACACTATCAGAATCACCGATTTAGTTTTAATATATTTTCCTATGACGCGCACTCCGTGCCAAAATCAAACGTTCGAACGACCGACCGACAGATCGAACGTCAAACCAAACGTCTATCCAAACGTCTTGAGCTTTGAGCGTCTTACACTGCGGGTGACCCACGTGATGACCTAACGCGACGTCAGCGTCTTGAAATTAGCTGGTTTTTAAACATTTAAGGAGCCAAGCTACTGTGTAAAGACTATAAATGGACATTACAAGCATTACAATAAAGATATTTGATACCTAAACGAACACTCAACCATTTCCTACATCCTGCTGTACTTAAATAAGTATTTAAAGAAAATTGTTGTAGGCTATTTGAGGTCGTTCTGAGTGATAAATTGAAAAAGCTTCCACCTGTATATCATGACTAAACAAAATAACTTGTAATTTACTTGAGGTTCTGCTATAAATTAGTCTATTAGAAACATTGATTTAAATGAATTAATTATACAAAAAAAATAATTAAGACTTCCTCCTGAGTTTTTGAACGGAAGTCCTGAATTATTATTAAAGGTAATTTAGTCATTTTGATCACGGCTGCTGAAAA